GCCCACCCGTTTGAACTAATAAAGTGCCAGGGGCCTAAGTGGTCACCTCAATATTAAAAAAAAAAAAAAAAAAAATTAGTATTCTGAAGATCTCCTTTATTGTCAATTTTGTCAGCACCTAGCCCATATGCTCTTTTCAAGATTTACTAAATTTCACCATTTCAAAAATTTTTAAAAAATTACAAAAACTACAAATCGAAAAATCAAAAAGTTTGACGATCGATACATCCAGAGGTGGTGCAGTTTCTGGGGTAAAATTCAACCATTTCAACTCCACTCCTGGCATTAAATTTGTTAATAAAAATCAAATGATTATTAAAATGATTTGTATGTTTATTATTTTTTAAATAAATGTAGTCAAGTTTACAAAAAAAAAACAACCTATTTTGTATACTTGCGCCAATGGGTTGAATATCTATTCAAGTTAAAGTTTCGTGGAAATTGTACGTAGAGTACATACGTACTGTACGTACGTACGTACGTACATACATAGGAAATGTAGAATCTTGAAAGTATACAATGCAATATGCAAGAGTCGTAGACATTGCACAATTCCCAAATTTAAACACAGACTATGAAAATTTTGCCAAAAACTATTTAAATTTATTTACTGCATATATTAAAATAATACGTGACAAATATTTAACTACAGTACATATATTTTAAAAATGATATACTTACTGTATACTAAAAAAAAAGTGAACATTTACCAAGTTCTACGTATTATTTTAAAGTTATAAATATTTTTAAAGTTTCAAAACTATATTAATAATCAACTTATTGTATATTTTAAATTAGATTAAAAATCTTACTAGCTACGAAATTAATTAAAAAATATTTATTCTGTTACTGTATAATTAGTAGCATCAGCAGCAGCAGCTTTTTTTCGCTCTTCAATTAATTTTTTAGCTCTTATCACATGTTTTACATAAATTATTGAAATTAAACCTAAGCATCCCAACAAACTATAGGTAACAGCATCACCAATAATAACTGCTTCATTATATTATATAGTAAAAATAACGATAATACGGACTATAGCTTCAATAAGAAGTCCGAATCCCCAAATTGCCGTCAAGATAATAAACGTTTGCCGAAACAAGCGATAAGATTTCCAATATCTATCCCAACGCACAGGAATTGGTTCATCTTTATTTTCGCTCTTAAGTTCATGGTCTGAACTTTTAGCGATATAATAGAGTATGGGTCGCATTTCGAACGATTTAATTTTGATCGGAATCAAGGTGATAACAAGTATTAAACCGTATCCACCAGTGAACAATGCTTTTTTAGTAATAATAATTTCACGTCATTTGTATAAATTGCCATTATCTCCGATAAAATTTCGACAATAATTCCAAATATGGGAAGAATTCCAAAGAAATCAACTCGTCTGTGAAAGATAAGTCTAGAAGGTAAAGAGAATTGATGGAATACTTGCTATGACAAGTACCTCAATATATGTTAAACTTGTATGTTTTGGAAGGAAATAAATAAGGAGGGCTGGTAAAGCCGTATTGATAACCAGGTTTAGTATCATCCCTGCTTTACTTCTTTTTTGAGGAGTCGATTTAGCCCCAAATTGTGAACTGATGTCATTATCTTTTTGCGACATTCTGTTTATTTTAAAAAGTTTATTGGTTAGTATTATTATATTTTAAATATGATACGCTATTAAGATCTTGCATAATCTGAAATAAGTCATTAATTAATCAATTTCGGCTCCGGATATCTAACAGAACTTGATTGCCTAGTAATACTGGTTGTAAAACAATTAATACCTATCCTCTAGTGATATTTGCGAATGCCGAGCGCTAGCATTATATTTAACAGCATTATGCTCATCTAAACTGTATAAGACTGTATAAGACTGTATAAGAATCCAATAAAATACTTACGTTGGAAAAATGACTATACAAGAAATTTATTCCTTAAGCTGAAATGTCTATGTAAGAAATTTCTTTTTAGAAACTCCTTAAAGAGTATTTTTTAGGATAAGATTAGAGTTTTTATAATTTAGAAAACATAATCATTAATCATTGATCTTGTTTATTGTTCAACAGGTAAACAAAATAAATGTTGTGGAATTGAAACCAAGTTGTGTTTACCGATGGGAATTTCTAGCTATTAATTAATTAATTGAAAATTATTAATTTAACAATAATTTTTATTGAAGATGATACAGCCAATGATTTTTTATTGCAAATCTTAATATTGCATATTTTTCAAAAACATCAATGAATGCATAATACATTAGTATTTGATTATTTAAAAGCTATTCTTCTGCAGATTTTTTTGAACACACAATTTTTATCAAAATGCATATTTTAATTTGAAAATTATGATATCTTTTTATCAATATCTTTTATGCATTTTGGATAATTCAATTATAATTTTATAGAAATGAACAATTAATTGTTAACAATTAAAAAATTAGAAAATCTCATCGCTAGTTACACTGCAATTTTAGATGCACCGATTGTTTACTTGTTTATTTGCAGTATTATTATTTATTCCCTATATAGTACATAAGTAGCTGCGCGACACTGTCGCGCTAAACCAGGAACGGATGATAACTTCAATACAGAATAGTTATATAAGCTAT